CTCACAAACTCCATTTCAAACAAGAATTGAAACCCTTTTTAAGTAATGAACCCAATATTCATTATGTTAACAAAATAAAGAAATTGGGTTAGAGATTGTTGTTTTCTAAATCTATGTCCAACTTTTTTTTTTTTTTTTTTTGATGAATGTCAAATTAGAATGAATGGTTTATAATCCTAAAGATAAAATGGTTAAGGATTTAAAAGAATTGAAATTTCTATTGGTACCTAAGTGATAGATATTTTAAAATTACATGTCCTTAACTTCAAGTAATTCTATATTAGGTAACTTCTTAAGAATTTTATTTTTTTTAAGAAGCATGTAAGTGAAAACAAAAGCATGCTAAAATGACTCGTGTTGATTTGTAGAGATAATTTTCTATAACGACTCGTCTTTCAAAGGACTCAAGCCACAGACCGTTACTCAAAGACGTGGAATATTTAAAAACACGCATTAATTTAAGACGGTTTAAACGTGCATGCACATAAAGAAAATTTCAATCTTAAAACAACCTTTAAAGTACACATTAAGGCAAGGATGCACACCCAAAATATGGTTCATAAAGTCTAAAAATACAAAAACCAAGGGTTCCAAAAACATATTCAAAAGAAGTACAAGGGGCTTATCTAGTCCAAAACTCTATAGCCCCTACTTCCATAGGATTAATGAAAAAGTATGGCCGAGATCCCGACTCGAAAGTGGAGATCCAAGAATAGTCCAAGAACGGTAAATAACCTACTTCTGACTCAACTCAGTCTGTGGTTGATGTTTAAATTCAAGGAAAATAATGTGGCATAGATAGATCTACATGCTATAACTTTCGTCAATGAAACATTTCAATTCGAGATAAGACTCAAAAGATATGAAAAAGAAAAAATGGAAAGAAAATTAACTCGAATCGATTTCGTGATCCGTTAGGAGAGAGAAAAATTTTCAGCGAGCCATGTGTCGATCGGTGAAAGGAATCGCATATACAACCAGGAGTAGGACACGCATCAGGCGACGGTGGAGATACGTGTCGAACGTCGTGTAGAGCAATGCAGCATTGTTCATTCCATGACACGCGGCCTCTACAAACCCTAATCGACCCGCATCGACCCGATCCAACCCACAACCCATCGGATCAACTAACCATCGGTCCAACCAGAGCGACGCGAACCAGATGCCTGACCTGCGACTATAGAAAGTTCACGCGCATGGTACTTGCGTGTGAAAGCCGTGAGTAAGACTTCTCTTGACGCGTGTCGACGTGTGTAAGTGGGTTTTCGGTTTGTTCGACTTTCGTTTGCTTGATTTTTATCCTGATTCCAATTATAACCATATTTTTATGTGATTTAGGACCAATTGAAGAAAATCACACTTTTTGGACACCCTATTTGTGTAGAAACGCTAAACGAAAAGGTACTCGTCAATCATGTAAGTCACCACACGGTATTTAGGAAGCAATACTTGTAGGATTCGCTTGGATTGCATGCATGCTAGAATAATAGTCCTAGGTGGATGGTTTTACCATGAAATGAAATTAGGTGATTAGAGAATCAAGAATATGGAAGCATGATGTATAGAATGCTTGTATGTCCGTGGAAATCTGTTAAGCCTACAACGTCATGCGAGCCTACAAGTAGGTGGCTTAATAAGCATAACTTTTATATTCATCCTTGCTACATTTTTCTTTTTAGATGCGTGATGCTATAAATTGAGAGGGCATGTTTGAGAGACGTGGATGATCACAGAGGAAAGTATATCCCAGGGCGTTAGTCTTAGTCTTTTATTTTCATAAACTTTCGTTGTAAAAACTGGTCAACGATTTGATTCTTTGTACTGAAACTTTCTTCTTATGAAATAAATGATTTTTGTGTTGATGTCTTTTCGAGTTTTTCATCCAGACACACTACACAACATTGTCGTTCACGGTTCATTGTAAAAATTTGGGTCGTGACATATACATATATAATAATGACAGAGCATAGTGACCTAACATGGACACCTAGTCAAAATTTCAAAATCATACCGTTCATAGTTCAATTCGTACTTTTCTTAGAAAAACATGCATAATAACGTTCAACGTATATCATCTCATGCTCAAATATTTATAACAAGTTCCTATAACGTACTTTTTATCATACTAAAGACATGTTTTCAGGTCCATCCAAATAAGAGCTTAACAATTCATTTCTCGAAAAACATGCATCATATAACTTCGACATACTTGTTTCATAGATTGAATCAATTCCGCTTAGGCTCAAATTTCTATAAAATTCTTTTTATATCGCCGAAATTTCGAAGTGCCACTTACTTGAAAAGCACGATACTTTTTGCTACAAGCATAGCTCAATTCGAAGAGATTGTAAAGTTCTTATGCACACAAATAGACAATTTACTGTAAGGCCATAACAGAATGATCAATAATTCTCGTGCATACATACAAGTTTACAATAAAAGAGTGTCTAACAATTGAAAAGCAATTAAAATCAGTCTCTTTTAAGTATAAATTCAAATAAAACTAGGAAATATGAGGACAAACAAATCTCGAAATCGAAATGAGGATGAAAAATTGAGTCGGACTCGGTCCAAAATTGGTTGTTGAGCTCTTTTGTTATTTCCAACTTGATTTAGTTTTGAAAAAACTCATCGTAGCGGTTCTGATCTAATCATGTCTTAGAAGTTAGGTCGTTGAAGAAACACATTTAATTGTTCTTATGTTCTTGAAATATGTCTTAGCGAATTGAAAAATATTGTAGCAATTCAAGTTCATCGCTAATAGATATTGTCCTCTTTGAACCTTTCCTTCTGGATTTTTCCTGAACGTTCTAGAACACGTCTACTATGGAAAAGTTTCCACGCCCTTATAAAGAATGATTCGTTTACCTCTCAAATCGACGTAGGATCTCACAAATATTCTCCGATCGATTTGGATCTCTATACTACCAACATGGGATTTGAACAGCATACTTTCATTTAGACGTCAGAAATGATGTATTGAAAGCATATAAAGAAGAAGAAAAGTGTAGAAATACAAAGCTTGTTGAAGCGTGAACAAAAAGGAGAGATCCACTAAAGGAAGCAATATGAGATAATGGAGAGAGAGACCCACACGTTGTTGATTCAAAAACAAGATCTATCAAACCATAAAGACAAAGGGTTTTAGGCATTAGCTTGTGGGAATTCATAAATGTCCATTACACACTCTTTTGCTGCTACTTTTCTACTTCATAGTTCACACTACCCTCTTTCTCTCAATTTTGCTACGATTACAAGGTTAGAAGTTCGATCCCACCTTCATATATCGCATAAACTCGAGAATTATGAGGGGTTTGTTGAGAAAGGTTGAAGTTTCATATTAGTTTATATGAGTCTGTTTGGAGAAACCAAAAACAAATTTGTAGAGCTTATATTCAAAGTGGACAATATCATATCGTTGTGGAGGAGAACGAGCATCATTTATTTGTTGAGTCTAAGTTGTTTGCGAGTTGTGTTGAGAAACAAGAGTGCTCATTTCATCAAAAAATTCAAAGTCATGAGACTTTATGCTCAATGTAGACAATATAATACCATTGTGGAGAGTCGTGGTTCCTAACATTGTTCTGGCATTTTATGTAACAACTCAAGCCTACCGCCAGCAAATATTGTCCTCTTTGGGCTTTCCCTTTCGAGGGAAGGATTTCTACACCTTTTATAAGAAATGTTTCGTTCTCCTCATCTAAGAGTTTAGCGTTGGGCAGTTCCGTTTTAACCTTTAAAGTTTCTTCCACAGATCTAACTGTTAGGAATCACAGACCTTCACAATGGTATGATATTGACCACTTTGAGCATAAGCTCTCATGCCTTTGTTTTGACTTCCCCAAAAGGCCTCATAACAATGGAGATGTATTCCTTACTTGTAAACCCATGGTCATTCCCTAAATTAGCCAACGTGGAGCTCCCTACCAACAATCCTCAACACTAAGCTCTCATGTTGTAACAGTTCATTGGAGAGGTGAACGAAGCATCTTTTACAAGGGTGTGGAAACCTCTCCCTGGAAAACACGTTTTAAAACTTTGAGAGGAAGCTCGAAACGGAAAACTCAAAAAATGCAATATGTACTAGCAGTGGGCTTGGACCGTTACACATTCTCTATAAAAGAAGAAGCTATATTCACCTCAGCTTGGGTAAGCTTCACCCCTAATAGAGTAAAAGCTTCACCTTTAGAAGGAATGGCTCGCTCCCCCTCTCCAACTGATGTGGGATCTCACATTATACCAACAAGGTGCACATTTTATGTCATGGCTCAATTATAGAAACTCTAAAGTTAATTATATGTCATGTGACCTTCGAGAAATTTTTCTTAAAAACATATGAATGAGAAAAGAGCATTCTAAAAGGATCCATGTCGATTCGTGAGAACGGTCTTTACTCTTAAAAATAATTCAAGAAAAGTCGATCGAGAATAGTTAATATTTTTCAAGATTAATAAAGTGGTGACCTAACTTTTCTTCAAATAAGTCCAATTTTTTTTGGTTTCAAGTATGAACCAAGATAGATATAGAATGGAGATCGATTCATCAATTTAATGATAATTAGTAGGTAAATGAAGTGGCAAATATCCAACTATTTGTCGAATGTCAGCATCAATCCATCTCAGCATTGTTCTTAGTGTTTTTATGCTTATTTTGTCATCCATTAAATTGAAGCAGACAATATCTACTAGTCGTGGGTTTGGACTGCTAAAAATAGTATTAGAGCCACATACCGAGCGTTATACCCGTTCTTCTTATAAGAGTGTAAAAATCTCTCTCTAATACACGCGTTTTAAAACCGTAAGACTAACGACAATATGTAATGGGCCAAAGCGAAGGAGTGAAATTTGATTGATTGGAAGTCGATTGTTTGGTGAAATACAGATATGGGAAACAGCGGAGGCACACTAATGGGTAATGGATATTGGGCCACTTTTGCATGTGCTTTTAACCCACTTAGAAGCTGATCCTCACTCCACCAATTCCTATATAAAGGGATCAGAATATGCATTATAGACATAGATCTTGTGTTTTGAATACCCATGGAGAATCATGCAATGCAATACCTTGTTTTCTTTGCTTTGTTGGGTTTTGGGTTAGCTTCTGCAGCCAGAACCCTTGTTGCCTATGATGCCAATGTCCAAGTCCCAGTGTTAGGCCGCGTTTCTGTTGGATATGGTGGTGGAGAGGGTGGTGGTAGCGGGTATGGAGTTACCACTGGATATGCCGGTGGTGGTGGTGGGGGAGGACGCGGAGGTGGAGGTGGCTCTGGATATGGAGGTGTTGGATATGGAAATGGTGGAGGTGAAGGAAGTGGCGCTGGATATGGAGGTGGAGAAGATCGTGGTTATGGCAATGGTGGTGGTGGTGGTGGAGGAAGTGGAGGTGGTAGCGGTGGTGGTTATGGCCCCGGTGGTGGATATGGAAGTGGAGGGGGAGCTGGGTCAGGTGGTGGTTATGGTAGTGGGGGAGTAGGTTATGGAGGAGGAGGAGGTGGGGGAAGTGGAGGCGGTGGTGGTTATGGTGCCGGAGGAGCAAATGGCGGTGGATATGGAAGTGGCGGAGGACAAGGAGGCGGCTCAGGGAGCGGTGCAGGAGGGCATGGAGGTGGCGGAGGAGGCGGTTCCGGTGGTGGGTATGGTGGTGGAGGAGCAAATGGAGGTGGATACGGAAGTGGCGGAGGAGGAGGCGGCGGCTCAGGAAGTGGAGCAGGAGGGCATGGAGGTGGAGGCGGTGGTGGCTCCGGTGGCGGCTATGGTGGTGGAGGTGCACAAGGAGGTGGATATGGAGCTGGCGGAGGTAGCGGACAAGGCGGAGGACATGGTGGTGGGTATGCACCATGAAAATTACGTTGTTCTTAATGAATATTAAGTTTACTATTGTGATGATCAAAGAACCGTTGTTCTTAATGAATATTAAGTTTACTATTGTGATGATCAAAGAACGGGACATAAAGTACCCTTAATTGATTCATAAACATTCCCATTTCAAATTTCAACGTAATCCGAATTCTAGTGTGATTTACTACTTTTCAATTTGTATACGAGTCGAGATATCCATGGAGCCAAGCACAGATATCATCACCTCCTATTCTAATACACATCCCCACAAAATATGCTAAACATGAGCGTATCCTGAAATAACAGATCAACCAGTGAGTCATGATAACTTCGATTCAACTAGATCAAAAGTTGTATGAAACTTAAAACGACAACGATTCAGCTAGTTAACGTAGAATAAGACGGTTTGGAATCGGAAGTGGAAGCGCTAGGAAATTCAGGCTCCCTATTGATCATATCAACACCTCCATCTTCTTTGAGCATCACCATATTGCATTTAATTTTCTTAGCATAAAAGGCTCTGTTATTTCTTTGATGCCTGTCATTGTTGTTGTTCTATTATCAGTTCTCTTAATAACTTGCTTGAACAAACACAATTGATAGATAGCTTACTTGTCGAATACAACCCATGTTGCATGAAGCCCAGAGATTTGCTCAACAATCAGCAGCCTAAGTGGATGACCCATTATAACCTTTTTTTGTGGCACAACCTGAAGAACAAACAATACTCAATGATATACATATATATACATATATAGATATATATATAGATATGTAGATATATATACATACACCATATTGTGTACAGAGAGATAGCACAGCTTCAAGTTTTGCATACTTGGGTTCAGTGATACACTCCCTTTCCCCACTCACAAATGGCATCTCCTCCAAGTTGAATGGCCAAATATCCAACCAAGTTTTGGAAGAAACTTCATCAAGAACAGTACAATGATCTTTAGAGAATACAACAAGATTGTGCAAGAGAAAGGAAAACAAACTTGATTACTAACGAGGAATGTTGAGCCACGGCATGGCGCCGATGAGAGTAACGACGCAACCAGGCTTGATGACGTTATCCAACGCCCATTCGAGTGGCTTTGTTGTGAACTCTTCCATTCCGTCCATGACAACCACTATGTGTCTGTTTGCAGCCTCTGATGATGAGCTGTAACTTGGCGTTGGAGTCGGGGTAGCGATACCGTCGTCTCCCATGGCTTCGTCTCCAGCCTCTGCCATGTCACAAGACAACAAGATTAGGAAAGGAAAGAATGTTGTTGGAGACTAGGTAGTGTTCATGTTTACCTGGCTTCAGGATATTAAAGAACAAGTTTCGATGCTTTCAAGGATATGTGTTGGATTCTCCTCAACAAACCAACAAACATTCTCATTGATTCTGTCAAAATCTACACTTTCTTCACTACTGAGCATAGTAATCATCTCTAAAGAATCATTCAAGATCAGAAAGTAGTAATAAATTGGAACAGATTGTCAACACAGAATTTGATTATATAACATGTAGAGCATTCGAACTGAAAACGTTCTCTATACACAGATTGAAAAAGCATCTCGATTCACCGAGGTCGAACCCAAAACCCGAACTTATGATAGCTAGAAATAAATTTTAAACGTCTTCCACCACATATTTACCTCTAAAACAACAGAAAAGAAGGGTAAAAGGCAAGGGAACTACTTAGCAAAATCTATCAACTCGGTTCACTTCGGTTTTGGCTGGCTACAAAGTGCATCACAAAACTATACTCGTTTTGCGACGATTGTTCGGCGGGCTTGACCTTTTGCATGGCAATGACCTTAGTCTCTTCTTCTTGTTTAAGGGACCTTCATTTTGAGGTCCCAATATAGCATTGATCATTTTCAACCCTCTCGACCCCGGCATGCTCTTCTTAATGTATCTCAGGGCTGCTTTTCTTTCAGGATCTTCCACACCCTTGTTCGATGGCCTTCCAGACGTCGAGCACTTTTCAGTCTTCAGATGACTGACTGGGATTTGGTATTGTGGTTCTGAACAAAATATGAACTTCCTAGATCAATACAGTCCAACCAATATCAGGAAAACAAATAAAGATAAGAACAACGCTTTACCTGGAGTCTGGAAAACGATATCAGGGCTGGGAGATCTTGTCGGTGAAAGAGGACGAAAACCATCAATACCTTCATCATTGCCGTTCGAGCAGAGGTTCTTAGATACGATGGGAGAAGACTCGAGTGCTGCACTCTCAAATATATGCAAGTTAGCAGAGGTAGGATTTCCCAAATCATTGGCACCAGTATCTTGCTCCCCCATTGCAACAGAAAACTGAGCAGGACTCAGCCGCAACGTATCCACAGGCACATTCGTAGTTTCACAATTGACGATAGATTCAGCAGACAACGAAGAGCGAACAGTATCGATACTTTGCAAAGTATCGGAACATGAATTCAAGCAAGGATCTCGTTGTTGGATTAAACTCGAGAACCATGAAGTTCCCTTCCTCTTATATAACAGAATGTAGGCCTCCCTTGACAGAACATAATCTTCACTAACTGGAGTAACCTACAAAACATCAAAACCAGATAGCTTTTCTTCTTCAGAACAAGCTTATTGCACTTCCCTAAAGCATACTCTTGATAGTAATTATCCACAAGGCCGAAAAGATCACAACAGCACAACATCAGATCAAATGTCGTAATTCAAAAACACGTAACGGCTGCTAAAGTTTTGAAAATGATGACGAGATTTAAATGATTGTACTGATTTACAGCCAATGGCAAGTACCCAAATGCAGGACCAACAAGACCTTGAGAAGTCAGGGAAAGAAGAAAACACGAAACGAAGTACGAACGGAAAGGAAACTAATCACTAACTCAATCATTGCCAATCTAAACAAAACTGAAAAATAGTTCATAAATGTTATACCATTGAGTCATCCATTCTGTGCCATGTATCGGGAGACGAGCGAACGAAGCTGAAGTAATGTCCAGAAGTAGAGGAAAACCCTGTGTGTTCCACAATTGCATATAATTCATACTTGAGCTCCACCTTTTATCATCAAAGGGAAAGACAGAGAAAACATCAGTAATGAACCTCAAAACCAAATGTGGGGCATCACTCTAAGATAAGAAAATTTAGGCTTCACCTCTGCATCACGGCCTCTCACGCTGTACGGCTGCAAATCTAACTCTAACGGAAACTCCAAGTGCTTTTCGATTTTCTCGACGAAAGAACTATCAGCCTTGAATCTCTTTAAGTGGAATGTAGTAACCAAAGGGATCTTTTCGAGCTTAAGCTGCTTCTCCACCAACACCTCTTCTTTGCAGTTTTCACACTTAAATTTTGTCTCTGGATCACCAATCTTCTCCACCCTGGTGAAAGACTCCAAAGCACTAGAAAGGGAGTCTACGTTCTCAATCTCCAAGCTCAGGTCGACCAAAGGCTCGTGGGTTTCAGAACAATGGCCACAATTACAACAGCATAGCTGAATATAACGCAAATTGTTAAATGAAAAGAAACCAAAGCTCAATACTGAAAACAGAACAGAATAGATGATTAACGTTCTTACGTTGCTTATGAGACGACCACCAAACACGTTATTCACTAGATCATCATCATCCTCAAAAGAAATTTGATCCTTGGCTTCTCTTACCAGGCATCTTTCGAGTTTATCCAAGAAGCACTGCAGGAACTCATGGGCGTCTTCCTGCTGGTACCTCCGGAAACAAGACGAGAAGTCTAATAATAGCTTAGGAATAACAACAGTATACCAAAGTTTTCAAATGCTAATATGATCAAATAGAGAATTATATATAAATAACTGCAACCTCAAATACACGCAACACAAACCATTCATATCCAAAAATCATAGATAATCACATCACACAACAGACAAAAAGCACTAATTAACAGAAATTTGATAAGTAAACAAATCTTGTGGAAAAAAAATACACAAAAGGATACAGTTCAAGTTATCGACAAGTTGAAGTGGGGAGATAATCCCGCCCATAGATGTTAAGGAGAGCTCAATATGATCACGAATTGCACAAAGAACACAAAGATCTTCACCTGCGGTGCAATTTTGCAATCTTTATCAACTATTGGATAAACAAAATTTCATAAACAGAGAGAACACATCGGAAATTATGGAGATCTTACTGTTACAAGGCATATCATGAGTGACAGATCGAAGACCCTCCACAAATGGAGCAGTGTGAGTGAGGCACTGCAGGATTGCGTTTATAAAGCAAGTATTACCCATATTTGCAAGCCCCGCACCCTAAGAAATCAGAACATAACCAAAATCAAAGCCCAAAAACTGTCAATTACAACGAATTGCAAAGAACTAATTACTAGAAGGACTCACCACTGACAAAGATTTGGCTCCTTGGGCAGCCACTGAACTTGATGGGAAACCTTGTTCTGAAGAACAATTCAATGAATTGTCAATGAATGATGAAACGGGCAAAGAGGGCAATGGCACGAGTGCATCAGAATCAGACGAGTAAATTGAAAATGACGAAGACCCATTAGGGTTTATCGAAGAAGTACCCCAAGACTGATTAGCAGAGCCGTCAATAGGCGAAAAGGAAAAATTCCCATCTCCACAAGACGACGGCGGAGGCAGAGATTGCTGAGTTAGGGCTTGATCAGTAGTCGACTGCCAATACCCACCTTCAATTTCCAACGGAGGAACCAAATATCTATCGGCTTCTTGAGATTCCGCCAGATGGGTCGCCATTAAAGAGAGTGGAACAAGATAATTAGGGTGAAAACAAGAAAAAACGAGCTATAATGAAACGAAACAGAGATGGGTTATGGAAAATTGGAGAGAAAAGAAAAGAAGGGGAAGATTTCAGGGGAAAATTGGAGCGGGGGAACCGGAAAAGAGAGGGAAAACGAAAATCAATTGGAGGGGTTTTAAGGTATGATTTGAAAAGCGAGGGAAAACTCAAAAAACTCCCAAAAATTGGACCTTTCCGCTTCAGAACTAAAGGGGGAAAAGGAAATTTTCAAGAGAGAATTAGAGGAAAGGACGCGGGGGGCGATAATCGACAGTTGATTTCGTTTTTTAATTCCTTTCTCCACAGTTCGTTGTGGAGACTGACAATTTCAATCTCACTCAAATCTCAACTACTACACCTTTCTCTAAAAACCCTAAAGCCTCTTGCTCTTCACACTAATTAACGAATCATTTTCTTTCTTAAATTATTAAACGAAGATTTTTAAAAAATTTATCAATTCAAATTCAAAGTATTTACTAAAAAATTATAACTCTTCCAAATAAATTTCTCTTAAAAAATAATAATAAAATTTTAGTAGCATCAAACTAAAATATAAACGTGCACAAAAGACCGATATGTCCAAACCCGTTGTGCAATATATTCAAACCAGTTGTGCAATACTCAAATTTGCCATCAACCCATCAAAATATAAGTTTAGTTCCTAAATTTAATATTCCCCAAACCAAGAACGATACATGATTCGATCCAAAAAACTCATAACTAAAAGCAAAACTCAATACACATTGAGGTCCTAAGCTATTATGAGAAGGGGTGAAAATATGGTATGTTTGCTACAAAAAGAGAGCTAAAGCTCATGGTTCATCAATGCAGCAAGCTAGAAAAACAAAGTAACCAGCCAAAATCAAGTCCTGGGTAAAACGTCGTTTTTGAAAGAATCTGTATACTGAATTTTTTTTACATTCCTCGGTAATAAAATCGACGGGTAATAATAAAAAAAACTGTATCGAGTTTGAGTTTTGAGTTCGGGCAAATTCTACAGTGGAGAACGAACACTTAAAACTGTATCAGATGATTCTGTCCTGAAGATCTGTAATTAATGTGGATGCCAAAGAGCTTAGCTTCTTCCCTGTTTCTCCAGCTATGTTCTTGAGAGAAGAAAGATCCTGCTGTGCCTGGCAGTTTAAATATGGATGTATGTAAAATAATGCTAAAATGCACTAAATAGTTTTAGAAGGTGACGAGAACAAGCAAGGATAGTGTAGAACCTGAATAGAAATCCGGTTAATAAACTCGGTTGCAGTAAGATCAGCGGAAAGATTATCTTGTTGGTGACCGAATAGATCGGCACTAGAGATGGAAGCCGAACCCTGCGAATTGAAGGATGGAGAATAAGAGGAATGAAACTAACATTCAGAGATCTTGGCTGTATAAAGAAACGACTTGCATCCAATCTGTGGAACATATGAAACAAAACATCGTTCGTCGTGCCACGGATACCAGTATACAGAAAGTGAAAGAAGCTTAACTCAAACGATCTCAGGTTCCATCATGAAGGATTGAAGGGTCTCACATATGGTAAGAGGTCAGTATACAAAGGTACGACTAGAAAAGTCTGGACAACAATTTCCGCTTCATTAACGATAAAGGTACATACCGAGAACTTTTGCAGGGAGGCCTGAGCGTCAGCATCAGCTCTGTTCTGATCACCAAAATATTGAGCTGACGAAATAGATTTAGCATTGGAGAACTTCTTCCTCGCTTCATCGCTTTCTTCAATCTGACATCATCATATTGTGAGATGAGAACAGAGACCAAATGAAGAGACATGTTATGGACCATCATCATATTGTGAGATGAGAACAGAGACCAAATGAAGAGACATGTTATGGACCCATGTCATCATCAACCAGCATGATACGTGTTTGTGCATGCCATTACTGAGGTATTTTTTTTAGGAATTCTGATGGGTTCTGTTTGACTAGCAATAAATCGCTTCTTATCGTAAAGGCGTGTTCACGAAACTTACCCAAAAAAGGAAATTGCAACCTATTTCAACCAGTGCAACAAGTAAACTAAGGATAAACATGATTCATGAATAATGACAGGATGACAAAAGCAAAGAGTTTCAGATTTACGGCCTACATTAGACAATTCCTCATTTTCCCATGGTTGATTTAGTGATGCATGCTAAATTCATTACAAACTCAGTAAGTACAATTCCTAACCTGCACTTTCGAGGAACTGGAACTCGCTTTCTTTGGAAAACCCCCATCCATTCCAAATTCAGCAAAGAATCCCGATGCCTTTGGGGGAGCCACATGGCTAATTACATGAGAGCCACTAGAATTCACATCAGATGATTGGACATTTTCTACATATTCAAAGCGAGATGCAACAGATGAACCAGTTGCAGGAGTTTTGATCGCGGTTGAAGATGAAACTGGAACTATGGGTTCTTCAGGTTTCTGATCATATAAATTTTCACTTCGCTGCAGGGAGTGCAAATTATACAGTCAAGCTAAATGTTTCTCAAAAACAATATTCGAGGTTAAGTTTAACAACTTGATCCAAAATAACAATAATCCATGAGCAAATTACGGTCTATTCACAGTGGTAGAACGCATTATTATTACCTTTGTAGTGAGCTTTCGGGCACCAAGTCCCCCAGTTTTCCCTGGCTTCTTCCCACCAATGGGCTTCTTCACAGTACTTGAGAATACCGTCTGAGAAGCTTTTGGTGACGCAGAAATTTCGGGAGCTTCTTGCTTTCCAGAGACATTGTCTTTAGCAATTTCATTAGTCTTGATATCAGGAGGTCCATTTGTTACTTGGCCTGACAGAGAAGAAACTGGGGAAGATGGCAACGCCATCTCTTCTGCCATACTTTTAGCAACTTCTTTTGAAAGTAATTGTCTATACAATTCAGCAGCTCTTGATGTATATTTGGCCTCGATTTTGCCTCCGTCGGACCATCCATGCTGCTTAAAGAAAACCTGTGCTCGGTTATTTCCTCCAAAGCTCATTGTTTTAAGCTGCTCCACAGTCCAAGAATCTAAATTTGTGGACCTACATAATTGAAGAACCTAATAACATCAAAATCATTCCCATCATAAGGGACTTGTACTCTCAGATACTTTTCAAGACTATCATAACCTTTGATGCTTTATTTCACTTGAAACCCTGAGTAGCATGTTATGCAAGCCACACGTATTTAATCGGAAAGAAATTAGAGATAATAAACTGCACTTACAGTTCACCAAATGCAACTAAGAGTTCTGTTGACTCAATACATGTAGTGCTTTCTTTTAGGCCACTAACATTTGATTTTGACAAGTAATAGACTGCAAAATTTTGACAGAAGAGGATTGTGTGACTCGAAGTCAGCCTCGCGTCCCCAGTAACTTAACTAGGGAATAAAATGGGGAAACTAAGGCACCTAACTAGCAAAAATTAAGAAGGGGCAGCTACAAAATCATTTCGCATTATACACTCATATGTACGTACTGAAATAATTATATCTTAAGTCTCTGTGAACTCCCCTTGCTATCTTTACAAAGACAACTATTCCTAGTTTTCTAAATTTCCCGACCCTACAAACAGAAGAAACTGCATTTCTCCAAAGGGATTTATGTCTTTTTTTTTGCAGAGGTCAGAAAGAAACAAGTATAAAGGAACACATCCATGAGAGGAGACAATGAACTAATGTTAAATCGTCGACACGGTGGCAAAACCAAGCTGGACCAGCAGTTTATAAATTTGCAACTGACAAGCTGTTAACACCGGGAGATCTTGATAATATGCATGTAGATGCACTAATGTCAACTATCATGTGATATGACCATTGACGTTTATAATAATGAAGAACACAAACGAAGATGCCATCCAAAGGGTGAAGAATTCAAAATCTCAGATGGAGCAAATATTTTTTTTACATAATCATGGTCATGCATGTCTACGAACAGTTGGCAGATCTACCACATTGGAATGATAAGGCAGAAGGACTGGGGATCAGTCCTTGCCCGAGGTAAGGAAGGTTACAAAATATGTCTCCAAAATCAGTCTTTCCACAAAAAGAATAAATGTCTATTGCAGAACTATCCTGCAAGAATAAACGGCCAGTACAGTGCTAGCCCGAACCTCATCTTGTCCTCATACATAAAGATACATGTGTATTTACACTTTTGTGAGGCAACAGTTTCGATATATAAAAATGTACGCCTTCGTAATAACTTACAGTAGCCATGCTTTTTCTATATTCTCAACTTAGCTCAGGTTTTTAAAACATTAGAAGGAAGTAGATAACAAAACAAAGAAACTCCATGAGTGGAACTAGTATTTTAAAGCTTAGATTTTAAACCCCAAAAACCAAGTGATCATCGAGCGAGGCCTTTACGTATGCACATTCACATGATTTCCATATAATTTAGATCACTCCTATCATTTCTCATTTGTTATTTCTTATCACTTTGGTATATTGTAATTCTCATCGCCCAATTTGAGTCTTCTAGGAAATAATCTAAAGGTGTCTACAAATGACAACCCATACATTCTAAGAACATGTTAGAGCGTAAGGCTTGGCGAGGAAGTAGGAGGACAGGGTTTAACATTGATGACTAAACACATAGAAGCAATGCAATGCACTTCTAATAACTACACATAACACATACTCTATTTAGCAAAACAAAAATATAGTAATGATTAGAAAACAAGAGTGCCTGGAATCAAAACCCTAAACAAAAAAAATAGTAATAATTCACCTGACGAAGCTAACATGGACGCCAAGGCTGCGATGCACAGCGGAGCAATCAATACAGAGGAAGATCCCATAGGGAACAGAAGCCCAAGTCGGATTCTTAGCATTGCAATCAAAACACGTCTGGGATTCAAAAAATAACCAGAATCAAGGAAGTGTGTCAGAGATCTGGAGATGAAACACACAGATCGGGGGGAGGAAACTCAAAATCGTAATGAAACGAAGAGGAATCGGAAAGAAGCAATGGAAAATGGTCGGAAAAGAGAATAGTACCTTGTTTTCGGACTTGGCTTTGAGCTTCCTGAAGACGACGTTCTTGTCGGAGAAGGTGTCGGAGGCCATTAGAGAGGAATTGGAAGAGAAAAATCCCCAAAGAGGTGTGCTTGAAGGAACACCTCCTTCGGGAAATTGAAATGGAGAAGACGGGTGGGTGGACACAAATTTGGATTTCAGCCTTCAAATTTAACCCTAACAACAACCCACGACGGTGGCATTAAGCCGTCAACATGAATATCTTTGACAATCAGTTGAATCAACTCAATTATATTTTTGGTCGATGTTCATGATGGTATGATATATA